GATTCCAGGGCAGCCTTCAGGTCAGGGTAGGGAGGTGAAACATGATCCCTCTCCATCCCCAGCTCAGTGGTGACAGAACCCCAGCCACATCCCAAGTAGACCAGAAAGGACTCAGCAGGGCTGCCAGGAGCCCAGCTGTATGGGGTCCCCCATGGTGGCCCCTGCACTGGGAGGAGGCTGTGGGGTTCTGGGGGACCTGCCCTCCCCTGACCTCATCTCTCTTCTCTCTGCTCTCTTCTGTCTCAGGTACGAGGAGGAGGTGACTCTAAGGGCAGCAGCTGAGAATGAGTTTGTGGCTCTGAAGAAGGCAAGTAACACAGGGGACCTCAGAGTGACAGATCCTCTTGGGGAGACCCTAAAGTACCTCGCCCGAGAGTGGAGTGCAGTGACCTTTCCAAAAGGGCATGGGAAATAGGCCATCGAGCAGGCATCCAGGCTCTGCTTTGACAAACAGTGATGACCCAGAGTATCCACTGGCACCCGCCCTGGGCAGCGGATGGCTGCATTGACCCCAGATATCCTGCTCTGCTTCAGACGGTGGGGTCTGTGGCTGGGGCCTCAGCCTCTCTGTCAAGGGACAGTGTCCTATCTGGCATTCAGAAAGTATGTCCATGATACAGGGGCACAATCCCAGGCAGGTTTAGGGGCGGGCAGTTAGGCCTCTGAGCCTTCCCCAGGAACAAAGGAGTTTGCTCTCCAAAGGAGAAAACCTTGCCGGGTGCATCCCAGGAAGGGCCATAGTAAGGGGTGGCATGGTCTTAGGAACACTGAGGAGTGCTCTTCGCCTGGCCTGCATGGACTGGGTGAGACAAGCGGCGTTTGGGGCATGACACTGTGGAGGCCTCTGTGCTTACATATTCCCCACCACTGCAGGACGTGGACTGCGCCTACCTGCGCAAGTCAGACCTGGAGGCCAACGCCGAGGCCCTGACCCAGGAGATCGACTTCCTGAGGAGACTGTACGAGGAGGTGAGGGGACACGCCAGGCAGACACCCGGCAGCCGGCATTGAAGACAGCGGTTTGGTCTGGGGGTTGGAGTGTAGGACTAGGGTAGGGCCCTGGGTAGGCAAATGCCTCTGATCTGCAGAGCACTGAGAGGTGCCAGGGTTGGGAGGAAGACTATGACTCGGAAAGTGGGACATCAGACAGGGAGGATGTCCTTAGAAGATGGGGAGAGCCACGGAAGGACTGTGAGATGGTCGGTCACCAAGAGTGGGGCTCTGGTCTAAGACACGCTGGTCACTCCCCCCCGCCACTCCCCCACGCAGGAGATTCGCGTTCTCCAGTCCCACATCTCAGACACCTCAGTCGTGGTCAAGATGGACAACAGCCGCGACCTCAACATGGACTGCGTCATTGCCGAGATCAAGGCCCAGTACGACGACATTGCCACCCGCAGTCGGGCCGAGGCCGAGTCCTGGTACCGCAGCAAGGTGAGCGCCTAGGACGCCTGCCTCCCGGACGTGACAGAGGCAGGGATGC